GAAAATCCCTTTTTATTCCTCTCTAGGTTTTATTATTTTATTTCTCTCCATTGCAAAGAGAGGAAAGAATCTCATGGAAAAGCAGCTGTTTGCTGAGGAGGGCTCACAGCATGCCCAGGGTAGAGCTGTGAACGTAGGGCACAGGACACACACTGAAGGAGATCTACAAGCTCCTCGCTTCACCTCCCCAGCACAGCTGTGTGCTCTCTGACCAGGAGTTTTCTTTAACAGAAGAAAGCATCACCAAGTTCTGCACAGCCTCCCTAAAGGCATCCTTTCCTTGATGGGCATTTCTCTGTTAGGTTGTCTCCTTCTCTCTCTGTTTCAGGCTGTTTTCTTCCATTTTGAGACTAGGAGAGCTCTTTCCCTAGGTCCCAGAGCAATTGGGTTTCCCACTTGGTTGTGCTCTGCTGTTGCTTTTCAAGCCCTCTCTTCCCTCCCAAGCAGTGCTCAGTTCTCACATCTCTCCCTCAGTTACTTATTTATGTATTTATTAATTACTCCCTACCTCTAGGTTCTGGGCTCCTCTTTGGTTTATGCATTTGATGTGTCTCTGCATATGTTGCTAATCCCATTGAAACCCCTACCACATTCCCCAGGCAGAGCTGACCTTTTGGCACAGGGGTACCGGTCTCATCATTCTCCAGGCTTCTCCAATTCATTGCTAAGATTGGTAAATTTGTTAGGGAGGGGAAGCAAGCCAGGCAGATACCACGTAGGGCAGTTAATGATCCAAAAGATTTAAGGAAAGTTAAACTATTTTCAATAAAGCGATAGCCAACTTGTTACAGAATTGATTTTAGAAGGAGCACCAAAGGGACAGTCTTATTAACATCTCATTAACAGTGTCCATTTCAGTTTGTATTAAAACCTGAACACTTGTGAAGCACAGCAAAAAGGAAAGCCTTTAACTATTCTGTTTCTCACAGGCTGCAACTTGCGAAGTACAGAGGAAGCTGATAATGCTCTTTCAGTTCCTGAGGACTTCAGGCAGCTTAGAAAAGTTACATGACATTAGCAAACACCATTAATAAGCTGAAAACCTAAAGACAAACATCTACAAAACTATTGAAGCATAAAATAACATAGGAACACCTGAAGATACGTCTACTGACAAGGAGGTGTCCAGCACCAGATGTTAGTCACTGGTAGCTTTGGGCACTGTGGAAGATTTGGCTAGCTGTGTCTTCCAGTGTGGGAATGCTTGGAACACACCTAATCAGATTTTGCAAGAAATGGATAAAAGATGCAGATGTATTTATGGCTTTTACACACACCTGGTTACAAATCCTGTTTGGGTTTCGTAAGGAACCATTAATACAAACAAGTGGTGAGATGAGCAGCTCCCAACACTTAACTATAGCCTGTGGTGTATTACAGTGCCTCTAATAATGCCACGCAGAAACCATTAACTAAGCCCAAATTTTCTTTCAGGTCTCTTCCCCTAATAAAAGATTTTCTTAACTTGAGCAGGGAGAAGTCTCCATTTGGCTGTGAAAGTTTTCATCATCCTTAAGCACCAGGAAAGGAATTTCCACATCCAATTAGCGGAGCCTCCACCCGTGCAGCCTGAGCAGTTGTGCCCAGTATCATTAATCACTCTGTCAAATGAAGCGTTCACCACCTTCCTGGTAAGAACAGGTTACTGAAAAATATTCCTCATTACAATTCCATTCCACATTACAATAACCTTCTTTAGTATTACATTGCAATACATCTGGCAATGATGTTTGATTTTGTGTTTAACTAAACCACGTGTACAGGTTTAAGTATAATGTAAAATACCTGTGTATTTATCTGTGTTTATCAGCTCTCCTTCCCTGTGGCCCACAGTACATAAATATTGCATCAGATGCCTGCATGTATTATATGCAACCTGACTCATCACATCACATGTGGTATTCATGCTAAATCTGCCTAAACCAGCAAATAACAAACAGCAGCATGAACAGAGCATCTTCACAACTGTGTCTTTTTCTGGCTACATGCCTACTCTTTCACTGGAAGAGCTGCTGTAATAGAGAAGTCTGTTAGTATTTGCAATTGCACAGCTCCTGGAATACTAAGACATTCAAATATTAGAAATTGATATTCACAAAAGAGCTGTCAGGGAAGCAGTTTTCCCTAAGGTGCAGTGTTACAGTACAGTGTGTTTCATTGGCACTTAGGCTTCCTTTCCTCCAAGGGGAGAAATCCGAGATACATGATCTGTTTGTACTCCTGACTTTTCCCCATCCAGTCAGAACATTGTTTCAAAGGACTCTTGCCCTTAAGTAGGCAATGTAATCCAACAGATTTACATTGATGTGGTGGTCTGGGTTATGCCATCTTCTGACATGATAAGCTTCAGAGGAAAAAGCAGCTTTGTCCTCTAGAGGGGCAGGTGGAGGGGAAACACCCGCAGTCTTCAAGGACTCAAAGGCACATCTCATGCCTGGTCTCACAGCAGCTGACTTGTCCACCAGACAAACATGATGAAGAGAATGAACTGAAATCTGACTCAGTGCTACCCAAAAAAGTTCAGGTTCAGACAGGGAAGGTTTGTAGCTGTTTGGTCAAAGTATAGCTTTGAACATTACTGTGCAGTTCAACCATGAAAAAAGGCATTTTGCAACCTCAGCAGTCTAGTCTTCTGCTCTGCCACTACACCAGCTAATCTGGAGAGGACTACTAAAATCATTGCTCCACTGTGAGCCAGGTTAATGGACAACTCCTAAAGACAGTGAGATCCTCAGATGTAGACTGGCCAGGAAACTCCAACTATACCTTCTGTTTGTACGTTTGTGGCTTTGGCTGAGCTCTGAGTGGAGCATACACTGAAAGGTAGAAGAACAAAGACTGGGATTTTCAAGGGGAACTCAAGGCCTTCTTTGTCCTCTGAAACACTGAAGTGTACACATGATAAGCCAAGAGAGTCACTCCATGCAGCGGTCACATGCTGTGTGGAAGCTGTAATCTCACAAGGACACAGATATGGCCATGCAAATATGGGTTATGCCTACGCTAACAACTGATGTACTTCCCTAGGGCTCCTAAAGGGCTTTTAATCTAGCTGCTAATGTGTGTGAAAGCTTGTGCTGAAGAAGCTTCATTTCTCTTGTGCTCCTGTAAGCCTGAAACATGCTACCCTTCAATACGCTGTCTTGAGGGGTGAGAACATAAGCTGGCAACTTCTTTGTTAAACCTTTAGAGGTATAAAGGAGGGGAGGTGTGTGCCATGCTGGGGACAGATGTCATGACTGCAGGCAGCAAACACAAAAAGAGGGTGTTTGGTAACAAGTGGTGTTGGTAACAAGCTGCATTCTCAACATCCCTTTCAACCAAACCATCTCCAGCATAGTCCTCCCAACAATCAGGCTGAAGCAGCATAGGTACATTTACCTGTGCTGAGTGCACTGCTTTGTTCTGCATAGCTTACCTTATGTTAAATAATACATAACATACTGTAAAATCCTAGTGCAGGTTAAACAAGTTGTAACATACCTCAGGTGGTCAAAGCAAACCTAACTGCAAAGCATTAGAAGTTAATTGTCTTTGCATCAGCTCAGCTCCTGCCTGTGTAAGGCTCCTGCGTCAGAGAGCTGACAGCAAAACTTCAGATAGATATGGGGGAGGAAGTAAAGCAGACACAGGAGGGAAAATGCTGCAGACATCTTTAGGTGAGGGCTTGTCGTACTAGACTTTTGTCATTATTGAATTCAGTCATGGGGAAAGGTCAAACTTACCTAAGGCAGCCTGAAAACAAGAACCTGTCTCTGTTTCAAGGCCCATCAATAGGTGCTTTCCCAAGGCATTTGGCTCAGGAGGTGCTCAGCATCTCTGGCTGCACAGAGAAATGCTTGACCAAAAAGCATCCGAACTTCTGCCAGGAGCAGTGCTGGTCCCTCCACACAGCCATGCCTGGGAGGGAGGCTCAGAGAGAGGGGGCCTTTGTACAGCCCTTGAGATGACTCCCGGTGCCAGAAGCGACGTGGCACAGGAGTACAGCTGAATCACAGCTGCAGCACTTACAGTAATTGTCCAAGGGACAGAACAATCGCACTTGTCTGACTGGTCAGGGCACGATGGGAGCCCAGCACATCTTTGTGAAAGCATTTCTCCTTGAAGTAAATTTCCAAATCAAAGTCCTTTTAACTCCAAAGCCTTTCCAGACTTCTTCCTGGCAAGTGCAATTTATTCTAAGGGGAGCTTTAAAAGAGATGTTACCCAGGAGAGTGAGATCTCCCTGCTGCTGGCTTTCACTGCCATCTGTGAAGAAAGTAACCCTGAATTTCCATTACACTGTAATGAGAACTGAGGTCTCAACTCCAACCAGTGCCCTGAAAAACACCTAGGATGCAGCCTGAAGTCCCTTTTCCTGGTTGCAACTCTTCACCTCCTCAAACAGGACTGCTTCTGTGACAGAAATCATCCCCAGCCCCATGTAAGCCTGGCTTTCTCTTGGGGCTGGTGCTTCCCTGCAGCTCAGCAGATGCAGTAGAAGAGTTGGAGAAAGGCCTGCATTGAACTTGCTAGTGGCACAAGCCATAAAGGAAAACTGATTGGTCACACCAGGAGCTGCACCCTTTCTCATGCACAGCCGACGCAGCACACACAGCCACGTGTGTGACTCAAAGAGAAAGCACTCTGTGCCACGTTTAGAGGCCAAAACAGTCTCCACTGATGCACAGTTACAGGTGCTGAGCTCACGGCAGGGGCAAACCCAGCACCAACCAAGAGCCTCAGAGATGCCACCAAGCTCCCACATACGCAAACAAAGAAAGCAAGGGACATTTCCCTCCCATTGCCTACAGGAGCCATTGACAGCATCGAATATCCTGACCACTACCAGCAAGGGGAAAATCCAGGGGGTTCTGCCTATTTTCTTAAGACCAGAAATCAATGGCAAAACTGGGGAGCAGGGGAGAGGTGACTTTGCCCCAGAGGGCCGTGGGGTTGTGGGGTTGGCCGGTCTCAGCAGTTGCCATTGTTGATGGAACTTAGAACCGGTGTCCGGGTACCCTGGTTACCCCAGCACACCCTGGTGCAAACATGGTTCTGTGGCAGTTCTCCTTCTACGTGTCACAAGTGAGGTCCCAGGGAAGGGAGAGGAGGTCTGCGTGCCATGGAGGAGACAGGCTTTAAGGATGAAGTGGATGGAGCCATGGCCAGGGACTGCAGCAAGGACAGCACAGCTGACCAGGTGAGCATGGGCATGGAGACTGGCACATAGTGGGAGCAAAGCAGAGCCCAGCTTCAGTCTCACCTCTGAAATGTGGTTTGGGATGCGAGTTGCAGAGAAGTAATCTTCCAGTGAAGCAGAGCATGTCAGAGAGGAAAGGACTTATCTTCATACACACTTCAGCATGTTTTATAAGGCAACGCAAACTTGTGTTTAAGTCAGTTATGTAGGAGTTGCTTTCCAAAAGATGAGTGGAGGAGCTACCTACACAAATGGTGACACAAAGGAAACAGCCATCGCCCCTTGCAAGAGAAAATATCCCCTTTCCCAGACTGGGAGATGCAAGTTCAGTGGCTGAGGATTTTTGTTTCCAGTCTGGCTTTGCAGCAGGTTGGCCACAGTACCTTTGCCATCAATACAGCTGTGCTTGGAGCAGTGTGGCATTACAATGAGCCCATTGTAACCACGTATTTCCACTTAACAAGTGGCTCTCAGCCCATGTTTGATTAATGCCATTAGAAACCAGTGGCCATTGTTTACCTTGTAATTTATCAGAGGTAGGATTTCCAAAAGGGATTTCAAGTAGGCACCTTGAAAAGTCTTATGGACTTTTAATTATAATAGAATACCTAGCTTCATTAAGCACCTTTGAAAACCCAATCTGAAATGATCTGGCAGGAAGAGAAATGCTTCTGAGTCCTAGGACAGGGGTTGTCCTTGGCAGCTTTCAGAGAGAGGATGCAAGATGTGTATGAACTGGAAAACTAACCTATGCCTTTGGCAATTTGCAGACGGCAGAGGAGGACCTGTCTGGCGCAGCGAAGGAGGCAGCCCTTGGAACAGGCAGCGAGAGTGCCCCACCACTCAAGGCCCCACTCATCTGTTGCGCAGAGGGCCTTGATAAGGACACCTTTAAAGTTGTGAGATACTGGGTAGCATTTAGCTGTAGGAAAAGTCAGCGGAATCCCAGGGTTTTGAGAGGGAGGGAGCAAGTGGAACGCAGGAGCCTGGCAGAGGGAGATAAAAAAGAACACAAGACTTCATTCCGTAGCTTTCTTCCATGTCTAAAACCTTTTACCTCCTCATCGTTTTCCAGTCTTGGGCACACTGCAGCACTTTTAGTTTAAAAACAAAAAAACAAACCCCAAACACACAACCTCCCCCCAAAAAACCCCAACCAACCAACAAATAATCCCATTTCACAAACACAGCTTGGTTTATGGGAACAAGTACTGCTATGTTATCACTTCTCATGACACCATGTGCTTCCTTGGCTAAAGTGGTTTGGTTCCTCTGCATCACTTCCACTGCAGCTACCAAAGCTCCATCCCATCCCATCCTCCCCCAGCATGGCAGATAACCTTCCTGTTCCTGGTATATGGCATAACCACACATGGCCCCATTCATGGTCTAGTGCACACAACAGACAAAAAGATGCACAAAAGGGAGGGCATCCAGGCACAGGGTTTGCTCTTGCATCACGTGTGAATGTTTGCACCACATCCCAGGTTTGGCCACAGGAAGAAGCAGCATGAGAAGAAGCAGGAAAGCAGTTTCCTTTCCCCCTCCTTGCAGAACAGCAGCTAGTTTGTAGCCTGAAATTTATACCTTTCACCCCACAATGTTAAAAAGGAATTCCCAGTCTTGGAAATCACTCAATTCGCTTTCGCATCACCTTTGGCATGCTTTGCCTACGGCATCACCAACCTTGGGATGTGCAGGAGCAACTCCTGCAGAGCAGTGGGAGTGCTTGACGGAGGTCCTGCTGAAGACCCACGTCAGGTCCCCCATGTCTATACAGGAGACACCTAAACACAACACTCCTTCAGGGCTTCCTGCCCAGCTATTTAATCAGTTTATTTAGTGAAAGGGAACGCCTGACACCTGCATTTGAAGTGCTGAACACCTATGCCAACAATTTATATAGAGTGTTTTTTTGCAGTGCAAGGAGGTTTTGAGACCCTTTAAGTCATCCCTTCGGAAACTGAATTTGTCCCAGCACCACCTCATGAAGAAAAGACTGAAGCACGTCAAGGAAAGTTTGGCCATAACTGGGAACTGCATCGATCGGTTTCTCCACAAGTTCTGCAGAGCCTCAGAAGTCGCACGCTGGCAGAAGTAAGGGTCTCCTCTTACCTGGCATGGTGGTACCCCACTGCGATGCTCCCAGCGTGGTCGGCTCCTGCCCCTGCTGCTCCCTGCGGGCGTTTAGACGCTTGCTTTGGCCATGTATTTGAGGCACTGGAAATCAGGTTGGGTGTCTACAGGAGGCTTGTAGAGCTGCTCCAACTGCCAAATACTCACAGATCTAGCAGGTGATTTTAGCACAGGCCATGTGGTACCTAGTCCTGCCCTGCACAAGGCCAATTTTAATGTGCTGCCCATCAGCAACATCCCTTTGCAAGTAAAGGGGCTCCTACGTAGCCACCTGAGTTAGTAGGTAACCCTTCCCATGCTTAGGGAAGCAGTTCTTTGAAAGTTTATATGGTTGGGGGGGGGGGGAAGGAAATAGGGCAAAAATCTGTGCAAAGGGTATGTCAGTGGCTACACTTGCCGAGCCAGAACTAGGGAGCAGGTGAGGAAGAGGATGAAGTTTGTACTCACACAATCCACATGTCTTTCTTTTCCCAAGGAAGTTATGGCAGTTTGTCTCCCTCTTCTCAGAGCTGGAAGCAGATCAGTTGGAGAAGATGTACGTGTGCATCAAGAAAAACCAAATGGATAAGTTTCAAGTAAGCAAATAGAAAAGTTAATACAGCCATAAGGTGTTCCTGCTGTGATAACTTTAAGGGATAACTTCCATGCAGCTTACACAGATTGATCCATGTCAAAGGAGAAGGCCACAGATCCTGAAGATATTGCCAGTTCCTAGCATAACGCAGGCACTGAGCTATCACAGGCACCAGTTGCCCTCCCTGGCTGGCACTAGGAAGCAGGGCTGGTTGCCTCAGCACAATGGATTACAATTTTGGGAGCTGTTTCTGATGCCACGTTTCTAGTCAGGCTTTACAGACCAGATTTGATCCATAGTTTTATCTAATGGTGTAATAGTTAAACTTTGAAACAAGCGACTGGTTCAGGTGCAGCCCGTGTTAGCCAAAGCTGATTTCTGTGTCTGAGCATCAGCTATAAAGGGAAACTGCAACCAGTGGCTTCCCAAGAACACTGACTCCAAAGGGTTAACCCATGTGAGCAGTCTCATAACCAACCATAAACATATCTGCTGAGCAAAGGCTGAGTACACCAGGAGGTTCAAAGGTCCACGAGAAACACACACTTTCAGAAATATATTAAGAAATAATGAAGACCAGGTCTACAATGAGAAACAGAGAGGAATCAACTGGGAAATTGCTCCCAGTAAATCAGAAACGAGCAGCAGGCGAGAGCTTGTTGGGTCACCAGGACACTGCTTGCTTCGTGTTAAAAAGGGAGCTGTGGTCATCTGATAGCTGGCAGTGATAAGGCCATAAATAAGTTTGAGGCCACAGGTAAACAGCTCTCTCCTGCAGTCAGAGAGCAAGGAGGAAGCCAGCCGTGCAGGTTTTGCTTTTAGTTTACGGGGAACAGAACTATTTATTTATTTCTAAGGCTCCATAAAGATGTTCCAACGCTGAGGAAATCAAACCGATCATAAAGAAACAAAAATGCCCAACAAATGCCTGTTGCTGGCAAAGACACAAGAGATTAATTGGGAGATATTAAAAAAGCAACTGGCAGTCCCAGGAGGGAACAGGCATTCCTGCTCCCTTCCACTTGTGAGTGCTGAGGAGGGGGAAATTGAGCTCCATTTCCAGCATGGCCCTTCTCAGAGGCTCTGCTGAGCCCAGGACATGACCTGGCTAAGGACAAGCCCCACTGCTCCTGCAGCACACAGAACTGATGGTAGCTCCCCACTGCCACCTTGGAACAAGTATTAAAGACCCAGTACCCCCCCCCCAACACCTTCCCATCCTTTTTGCTCCCCTAAATAAAAGCCACAACCAAATGACACATCTTAGTGTCCAAGGAGGAGAGGGGGAAGAAAAACCCAAACAGTGGGTGACAAGCATTAGTCACGCTGCATTGTGTGCTATTGGGACACTCCGGCGTGTACCGAGGAGCCATGGCTGTGCCACGCTGGGGACCAGGCTGCCTCCTAAAAGAAGTGACAAATCCTGCCGTTATGTAAGGGTTGACAAATGCCTTTTGTTATGCAAGACAAGTGGGAGAAAAATAAGCATCTTTCGCCCTTTGTGGGAAGGGAACAGCAGTCGGCTCCCTGCTAGAGCATAAACAACAGGCTGTGGATCCAGGGGGGATCGGCATGCTCGGCACAACAGAAATAGGTTATTTGGAAATGCCTCGTTCTTTAGATGAGTGAGCATAAGAATACAGAAACAATATTTAATTAGCAAGCGATTGAGGTTGTCAGTGTGGTGATTTGACAACGTTGTGAGGTTTGGTCCAGGAGAGAGGCAAGCGAGCAGCCATCTGTTAGTCTTTCTCACCAGTCCTCTTGAAATTAGGGAGCTGTGTCCCCTTGCCTCACATTTGGGCTTTTAGGCTTCTGTTTGTTTGCTTGTTTTTAATTAGAACCAAACCAATCAACCACGTCTGAATTCAAACACTGGTCCCAAGTCCCTGCCTTCAGACTTGGTGAAAATACCAGAGCTGCTTCTCAGAGCTAGAAGAGAGCATCGTTTCCCTTTGCAACCCGCTGGTGCCTGTACGCTGCTCAAAGCTGTAGAAATCAGCCCCATGTCTCAGTCTAAGAGAGTAAAGAACGAAGTCTTGTGGGCTCTCTGAGGCTTTGGAAGCATTGCTTGGTTTTTTAAAGCAAGTCAAACAGCACGAACACTGGCATTGCAAAAACCCTTCTCTCTGGGATTGCCTCTGGGAAGGAGGCGCAGCGCAGCAGCTGCTCTGCACCCAGCTCCATGCTACCCTCCCACCACCCTTAGGATGCCCAGGGCAGGGACCCATCGCCGCCCGTGTGCCGCCCTCCCAGCATACAGTGCCATAAAGCGACAGTGACATCCAGCGGCAGCGCACACCCGTCCACAGCAGCCCCCGCCCGGGCGGAGCGGGGCTGAGCAGTGCCCGTGTCCCATCGCACACACTCGAGCCTCTGTTCAGATGCAGCCACCCAGGAGCGCTCGCAGCCACTGACGAGCCGCCCGAAGTGCCTGAAGAAGGACAGTGCTGTCCCTACCGTGAGAGAAGGGTTCTTGTGTCGAAACACACATCTTTAGGTGCTTGGGTAGCCTGGGCTGTGTAAGCCAAGCTGCAAAGAGAGCTGAGCTGAGCTGAGCTGAGCTGGGCACCAACGCAGGGGACCAGCGACAGCACAGAGAACACAGCTCTGCAGTGGCTACACCAGGACTGGCTGCTGGGTCGGATGGGGTCTCAGATCTCAACTGCAAGGAACAAACCCTGCCAGGTGAGGATCTGTGCGGTCAGTACAGTCATTTCTCAGCTGGCCACGCAACAGGACCACGGTTAAGCAAGAGTTATTGCCCAAGCATGAGTCAGTGTGTGGTGGTTGCTCATATAAATATCTTTTAAAGTGTTCTTTGTGGTTGCTCCCTTCTTGTTTTTAAGCAATTATGCTGCCCTTCGGAAACCCCATGTTCAGAAGAGGAACTGAATTGGCTTTACACCAGACGGGGTCTCCAAGGAGGGACAGAGAGACCTGCAGGAGCAGCCAGGTCAAAGAGACAGTCACCATCAGCACAACTGCCAAGTCAACGCCCAGCGGCAGGAATGGCAGGTGAGCTCAGGCAGTGGCATCGGCACCAAGCAGGAAAAGCATCTTCCTGCCCCAGGAGAGGCATTGAAACTTGGCATTTTTGCCAGAGGCCCAGGAGGTGAAGAGCAGTCAGTGGTGGAGCTGGAGGAGCCAGGTAGGTTGAACTGCTACTCAGCGAAGAGACATAGGAGTAGGGAAGACAGCAGTAAGAGAAGCTACTATAGCACAAGGCAGTAGTAAGGAAGAAGATGCCTCTTCGTTGGCGCATGTCAGTCGGCATTCATTAGCGTGTCTTTACATAGCAGTCTGGATGCTCAGAGCATAGTTGTGGTTTGCCTTTGGGCCCACCCAGCAAAGCCACACACTTTGTCTTCCAGAGCAAAAATGCAGACCAACCTGTAGGAAGGGCGTTTGCAAAGCAGTCTGTTGACTCCAGCCAGGACTCCGCCACACGCAAACCCTCAAGGGGGGATGGAGAAAGGGACATTAGAAGCAATTGCTGACAAGATCAGCTTTGCCACAAACAGGTGCCACGGTCTGCCTGTGGAAGGAGGATTTGTCCCACATAAGCCTATTTTCAAGCTGCTAAAATGCAATCACATGTCCTGTGGGAGTTCTCATGCACTCATAAGCATCTTGCTTTTCATCTCTTTCCTCCCCAGTCTATTTACTTCTAAAAAGAGTCCAATCTGGTGTGTAACAGCTCTGAGGGAGCACTTCACATCCAAACTCATAAACCAAGTCAGAAAAGCAAGAGCTAGACGGCCTGATGCAGGAGGCTGAGTAGGAGTCCCACAGTAACCTGCTGGCTCTGTGACTCCAGGCAATCCTCCTCTGCTTGTCTGCTCCACTGTAGGGATGGAGAAAATACCACCCCACCGATCCCTACGCTGGTGAATGCATCGCGGACACACAGCGCATGGAACACCAGAAATTAGCACAGCTGAAGTGCAACGACCACAGCAAGGGTTTGGGGCTGGGGGCTGCTCGCCAGCAGGAGCAGCCCAGTGGGATTGAAGGGATTGGGATTGAAGCACGTGCAGGCTCCAAGCAGTAAAGCCCCAGGGGACGGCCAGGGCACAGCCGTACCAGCTCCTGTGGGAGACAAGGCTGCCCAGAGGAGTTACACCTTCCATTTACTTTGTGTCTTTTCTGTTGTTTTTAAGGTTCCCAGAGCACTGCAGAGGGAAGGGGAGCACAGGAGCTGGTTACTGCAGCCTCAGCACCGGAATAAAGAGCAGGGAATAAAAACAGTCTCCATGGTTCCCTGAATCCACCAAATACTGAAACACCCGCAGCGTCGTAGCAACAAGCCTGGACCCAAGCACAATGAAAAACAGGTTGTTTTAAACCATGTGATCTTATTTATTCTTATCCTGGAGGTTCCTAACAGTGCATCAGCACTGAGGCTCAACAGGGGATGTGTGAAGTATCAGATCTACCTTTCCTACATCGTTCTTTTTGCATAAACCCCAGTAATGGAAGAGCAGTGCTTGTCAGGAAGCAAACAGCTGCTTCTCTCCTTACTATGGCAGAAACCCTTTCCTGAGGAGAGCAGGATCTGTTCCCTGCTCATTTCTGCTCACACACACACACAAACCCTACACATGGTCAGCAGTCACTGACTGGGGAGCAGGGAATGAAAGAGGGAAAGAGACCAGTATGGAAAATACCCTGGTTAAAAGAAGTTTCATAACTGCTCCACACACACTTGCCATTTGTAACTGTTCTGGGCAAACAACAGCCACGCGTTTGGCCTGTACTCACACCGGTGTCCTTGGCACATCTGCAGCTGGCACCCATTGATCCACACTGGGGTGGCTGTAGCCCTCTTTGCCTGCTGCCGCTGCTGCAGAGACTTATCTGAGAGCTGATGCTTCAGGACAGGAATAGCAAGAAAATAGCAACAGAACTGGTTGGTTGGGGCTTCAGGGTTGGCTAGGTTTGATTTACAGCGGAACCCAGGACTTAAGGAAGCATCAGAGAGATCAACAGCTTGGCATAGAAATCCTACAGTGTGACCAGTCAAAAAACCCCAGAGATCCTTCCTTCCTGCGTGCCAAAGCAGGGATGGGTGGGCAGGGGCTTAGTTACTGGCCTCAGCTCTGAGCCCAAGCAAGAGGAACCCCCCCCAGCTCCCAGTGGAAGGGCAGACGACGCAGGCCATTTTTAGAACCAAGACAACAGATTTCCTTCTGAAAAGGCATCTTGGCTCGCACCCACAGGCCTTGGCAGGAGCTCTGCCACGGAGGCACCGCTGCCAAGGGCGCGCTTGAGGCTGGGAAGGAGGATGGCACAGGGCACCTTCACCGGGCAGCGGGTTCAGCTCCTCCCAGACCTGGCTCAGCAGCAGCACACGAGGAGTCTCCTTCAGGTAATGGAATGCTTCTTCCAGCTGCAGGTTGTGACCTTCCTCCGGAGCACACGCTGTGACCCAAACAGAGAAGTGCATGTGGCTGCTTCAGAAACATACTGCGTGCCCTCGAAGTGCCACCGTGGGTTAAGACAGAGCTGAGCAAGATTAAAGCCTGCTCAGGACTTGGATGTGTAACTTTTCCAGTAGGACTTGAGGTGACTTAGACACGATGGGAAAGCTCTCACGGAAAACTGAGCTCTGCCAGCAATGACCTCAGTTTCCTGACCAGATGACAGAGGGAAAGGGAAAAGGTTTCACCTTCGGAGCTCCCTGCTCTAAGTGCACGGTAAGAAAACCTTTGGTGTCAACTAAAGGATGCACCAGTGCTACTCACGGATACTACAGGGATTGCTTTTTCCTGCTGTTTAATTGTGGAAGTTGGCAGCAGGGGTGCTACCAAGGCAGTAGTGCTCCATGCACGTTTCCTAACTCGGGCTGCTTGCTCTCTTCCATTGAAACGGAGCACCGGGGAATTCAAGGAAGCATTGCACAACCCTGGCTCAAAGAGTAACGTAGAACCAAGGGAAAAAAGAAGAGACACAAAACCCCATCCCCCCCCCCCCCAAACCACAGCCTGAAGAGATGCCAGCGGAGGCCATGGCTGGCAGTTAAATCCGGAACAGTAAAGCCCACATGTTGTGCCATAGGAAGCTCTGTTCAGTGGGGAACCAGAGCTATCAAGCACAAGCAGAAGCCCGCAGCCGTGGCGCCTGGTGGCAGGCTGTCACCCTGCAGGGACACCCCCGGGACAGGAGCTGTTCCTGTCCGGGATGCACCAGACCTTCTGCCAGCCAGGAGGAGCTTCCTGTGCTTTGGGACAGCCAAGAGAGCATAACCCCAAGGCCACCCCCACTGCAAGCAGCCGGCCTGCCCCAGCACCTCGCTGCAGCCTGGCTTAGGGGGAATTATGGTGAATTCTGTTGGCACGGGGAAGAGCCTGATCCTTGCCCATGGCAGGGTTTGGGACTCTGCTCCAACTCACCCAGGGAACAAAGTCATTGCTGGGAGGCAGCTTCGCTTCACTCCACAGGCAGCAGCAGGACGGCCTCGTACCTCCACGTGTTCAACACCAGGTCCCTTGTGCCTGGGCAGAAGCAGTTTTGGGGTTGCTGTTGTTGATTCTTCCTTCTTAGTGGCCGAAGCAAAGACGCTTTTGTTGTCTGCTTTTGTTGGTTTGTGCCGGGCAGTTTGGCTTCAGCACTCCCCAAATATCAGCGTTTCCCTGGGGAAGAGGGAAAGCGCTGAGAAAGCTGCAGGAACACACAGAGATGCCCCAGGCCTGGCATCCTTCACCCATTTCCATTTGCATGGACCCTACAGACGGGCTGCACAGCCGCAACGGGCAAGGCCACAGCCCTGAGGGTGTCAGCACGGCCGCCTCTGGAGCCAGCCTTGCTTCACAAGAGCTGAACCTGGCACAGACCTCACTGGGCTCCTCAGGGTGCAGCATCTCTGGGCTGCACTCAGGGGCCGGGTGTTCGGAGGCGTTTCTGGAATGGAAATGGCAGACCTGTGGCAGGAGCCCCTGCATGGCTGGGGGGTTACAGCTCATTTACCACCAACACACACCTCTCACACCTGAGGGGTTCACAACAAAAGCTCCAGAAACGCTGCCTCCAACCCGTCCTGTGCTCAGGCAGACACAGAAAATGCTTTTGGCCTGTGCCTGCTCACCTGGATGAAAGACTCCGCATCCCCGTGGCCACCTCAGGGGAAAGCATTAGTACCAGAAGGTCCTCGGTGACAAGGCAGCCACGTTTACAACTCAGTATAAAGGGTATCAAACACAAAACAAAAGGGGCCAGCTACAATGGAAGTACCCCCAAAGCTGCGTGGTCAGAGAGCTATGGAAACCCAGTCATCTTGCTCAAGAAAGCTTGGCCAGCACAGCCACAGGCCAGGACAAAGCTAACGTGGGCAACAGAGCCCAAAGGAGACAACAAAGGCAGCCCCAGGAGCTGGATCAGCTCAACTCAACTCCTAACCTCGCTCTGGCTTACTGTGACAAGGCAGAAACAGCCAAACACCCACTCTTAGACACGTTGCGGCAAGGGGCAGCTGTTTGTTGGAAGCAAAGTTTTAAGCAGATTCAATGCAGATACTTGGAGATGCGGGAAACACTCCATTTATTAGGTCAATATTTCATTTTAGCAATACAGTTACAGAATATCACAATGCTGGTTACAAACATAGTGTGGTTTGATGGGTACAAAGAATGCTGGGCACTGCAGTCCAGGAGGAGGAGGATACGGAACGTTAAGTCTTGACACGACAAGTAGGGTGGTCTCCAAGGTCTAGTAATGATGGAGATACTTTCCTATCAATGAATGTGGCACTACAGGCAGAGATGGTGGTTTAGAGGAGGGGGTTGTATAAGTAGTTTGATTTATTCAATGATACAGTTCAAGCAACATCTTTTTTTAAAATGCTATTAAATTAAAATCCCCTGTAGTTCAATAAGGTATAAAAATAGTACTGAACCCGGTAATATTCAATCAAATGTAGAGTTCATTCACATCGTTGAGTCATAAAGAAATTGTAAAGTTGTAGTTACCATGGCAACATCGCTTCCCATCACGGGATATACATCAAAGAAAGGAAGTTACACATATGGTACCTGCGACAATTACTGAGCGATCCAACACTGAACTTGTGCACCACAAACCAAGTCTCTAAATAGCTCTATATATTTATATAGTATATATCTTTGTCATCTTTAAA